GTAGAATCCTGTTGCGTCAATTCCAGTCCATTGGGCGTATCAGTAGTTGCGTCTTGACTTGACTCTCTTGTGATATTCAGCCTTGTTGCTGGTGTGTTAGTTGCGAGTTCTGTTTCTTCATTGATGGTAGAATCCTGTTGCGTCAATTCCAGTTCAGCTGGTTTAATAACTGTTGATGCGCCCTGAAAAAAGGGTTTTGTTGACTCAGAAGGAAATTGCTCCGTGAGAATCGCTGATTCTGTTGATTTTAACAGATCGGAGACATCTTGTTCATCAGTCGTCGGTTTAATTCGTGTTTCTGTAGCTGGAGATGAAAAGGCGACACCTTTATTCTGCACTACTAACAGGGCATCCCAACAGGCTGCAATCATCAACACTGGTAACACGCTCTGGAATTAAAATCAAACCATTCCTTTATTCGTAACATATAATCATTGAATTCGTTACGACTGTCAGTTACAAGAAATCTTCAGTTGATTTAATTTTTCAAGCTCTGTGATCTGTATGACTTTATATGTATTTAAATGTGACTGAGTAGAAGTTAAGTGTAAACTTTTTTTGAAGCTGAGAAAAGTCAAGGCAGACATTCATGGTCAGGAGAATTAAATATGATGGTAATGATTATTTGTACATATTAAAGTTACAGGTCTATTTAAACATATTTTTTGTATAATTAAACAGAAGAAGATTGAATTGTGTGAAATAAAAACGCCGGGTAAATCCACATGCAACGCAATGTGTCGTAAGAAATATCATCTGGAATGGACTTCTGTTCACTAGCAACAAAACTCTTAAGGTCCTGCAATTCAGAGTTGCACTTTGCCAGTTTGATTTTATTAAGAAATGTCTCTGTCTTCTGTCCCGTGACTAGATAACAAAAAGCTAATTACGCGAAGCAATAAATGCTCATCTAGTCAACGAACTCCTATCGTCATATGGAAACCTAATTTTTGTTATCGCAACCTGAGCTAGATAAATCCAGTCCTCACATTCTGTGCCGTGTCTTTAGAGTTCATAACACTCTCCTATCTATGTTTAGAATTCCCAGTAGGTCTCCTTTCTTCCGATTTTAATTTTGAAAATATTACTTTCTCATAGTTTCTGTGCGTGCTATATGACTCGCCAATTTAATCCATTCGACATTGACCTGCAGGACAATGACACTACCGCCTCATTCAACATCTTTAAAATTCATAGTTCGTTGTTCATGCGACTTTATAAGCTATAAGGTATAATGTGAGCTTTTAACATCGGTGGTCTAGCGGTTAGAACGCTGGCCTTGTAATCCTGGGGGTCTCGGGTTCGATTCCCGAATTTATAACTTGTGTTTGGCAAGGCCGTGGTCTAGGCAACACGGAGTTTTCCTCCGGGGGCTTCTTCCCCGGTTTCTCCGTGGCATCCCAACAATTACTCCATTCACACACAGAAGAAGGCAATGGCAAACCACTTCTGGATCATCTGCCAAGAACGTATATGAACAGGTCCCAATCCGAGAAAAGAATGGAAGGATCCTGTTCATATGGACCTGTCGGCAGACAGAACACTACAAATAAATAAAAAACTCTGAACGTCTGCGCAGTACATAATGTACAGTGAAAATTATGAACTTCCTCTTAATTATCTTTTCCCCAAGTCCCTGATACTTCCTCCGTCTAAGGTTCGAACAAAATACTCATCCCTTAATGCGATAAATAAAGTTTTGTTCACATACAAAACAACAGGTAAAATTATAGAAACTAAGATGACTGCCTTCTGGGTTGTAGCGCCTTGAAGTCTGGTAGAAGTTTACCAGCGTTTTAGAGGTCCTTACTGCCTCCATCATCAGCGTTCTTCGCCCTGATGATATAGTCAGCAAGGACCTCTGAAGGCTCATCGCCCTGATGATGGAGGCAGCAAGGACCTCTGAAACGCTGGATAAACTTCTACCAGACTACACAGAACTATAACGCAGAAGACAACCATCTTCGGACTAACAGACACGAGAATCTTCAAGTCCTCTTCGGTAAATTATAGCTTTCTATAAGGTAGTCAATAAAGTGTTCTGGCTCCGGGATGGACGGCTTTCTGTTCCTGGTGCGGACAGTAATTTTCCTCTTTGCCACTGCGACCAAACAGACTCTGGGATCCACCCACTATCGTATCCAATGGATACCGGTATAAAGCGAAAGAAACATCGCTCATGTAAATTTGGTGCAGAGATAAAGAATACGTGAAGTTATCCACGTATCCATACGTGTTCAAATCTTGGTGCGTAATTAAGCACGAGAGCAAGTTTATTTTAATTTCGTGGGACTTAGGCCTGGTAAAGATTAAATAACCACCGCCTGAAAAAAAAGTGTGTGTGCGTCTAGTAGCAAGCTGGCTCGTAGTTCCGCTCACAACCACTGGAGGTCTCTTCAATTTGCGCTTTGGAACAGCTGAAGGCGAAGTTGTCTTTCGTGCTTGTACGATCAACTACGCAGTGAAGAAATATGGCAGTGGGTGTAAAGCTCCACACGCATTAACCTCGGCACTAAATGAGATCAGAGGTTAGTTTCAGGTCCCGACATACATCAGAACCGGCGTAGACGTTTGGGTAAGAGAAATTACTGCCTTGCAGGAAACAATTTCGTGCGTTCAGCCTACATCTTAGTCACTATATTATTTTCATATAAAGATAAATAGAGTTTCCATTGACAGACATAAATCCTTACCTTACTCATTGTAAGAGACAGGCAGGACATCTTGGCTTCTTTCTTCACAGGTGTGCTTGTAGAAATAGTATGTTTTATCACAGTTCTAATATTTGTCCCATCTGCGAGAATAAATGCACTCTGAGAGACATTTTACCGTGATTTTATATGTACAAAAGTGTAAGCATTTACTTATCTGAAAAGACACTGATATATGAGGCGTGAATGCTAAGTCACCTCTTTCTATAGGTACTTAAAAGCAGTAACATAAATATGCCACGAGTTTACGAAAACAGGTCTACATAATTTCTAGGAATTCTACTTAATCATTAACAAACACAAAGGTGACACATACGTTTGTACACTAGACCACTCATCTAGATTAAGTTTATTCTTTTGGAGCTTGTCGAAATGGAATATTCCAGGAGTTTCGGTGAAGAAAAGTCAGAACTATTAGAAACCAAGAGCGTATATTCATGCATCAGTGAATCACCGATTACATTTAACGTGAAATGTTAGTTCAGCTGATTCTAAAAATTCTGCGACTTTTAAAGGTGACAGACTTCTGGTTAATGGTGTTCACAAGAGCCCGATCCTTGAGTAATTTTATTTATTTAACTAACAAATGAGAACTGTTCTATGAAAGCTGAAACATTCGTATATAAATTATTTGTCGCGAACGTTCATTCCCATATGCCCACCGAAATATTTGCATACGTCGAAAAATTTCTTATCGTATATTGTTTGTTACTAATTAAATAAGCTTAAATAATTATTGGGTTTAAAAACTAACTTTTGTGAGGTTAGGTAGCTCAGTCAGTATACTGACTGACTACGCACTGGACGACCGAGGTTCGATCACAGGGCAGATCATTTTTCCTTTAGCCTCTGGGGCCCACCCAACCTCCTGTCCAATGGGTACCGGGGTCTTTTACCCGGGGGTAAATAGCGTATAGCTGGATAGCTTTACTTTTAGTTAACTTTCGTGGGACACATACGAACACATGGTATTTTGATTTGAATGAGCATGCAAATGTATAATTTAAGAATTTGGCTTATGAAATGTGTAAGAAAATTGTCTGAAATCGTGATGGGAATACACAAGTTGAGAATGTGGTATTAAGAGTCGAGGGTGTAGACTGGATTTAATTAGCACATAATAGGGTTTAGTGTGACAGCCACGGTGGTCTAGTGGTCAGAACACTAGCCTTGTAATCCTAGGGTCCCGGGTTCAATTCCCGGTGGTGCTCAGATTTATAACTTGTGTTGGGCAAGGCCGTGGTCTAGGCAACACGGAGTTTTCCTCCGTGGCATCCCAACAATTACTCCATTCACACACAGAAGAAGGCAATGGCAAACCACTTCTGGATCATTTGCCAAGAACGTATATGAACAGGTCCCAGTCCGAGAAAAGGATGGAAGGATCCTGTTCATATGGACCTGTCGTCAGACAGAACACTAAATAAGAAAAAGGTTTTAGTGAAGGGCTGTGATTTACAAGGTAGTGGACTTTTGGTTCCTTATAAAAGACGGAAAATTTATTGACAAGCTGAGTAACTATTAGCTTCTCAAAGTTAAGACAATATGTCACACCAGTCCTTCTTTGACCATTCATGCTACGAACGTGCAACGGATCATGCTTTTAGTTCACAGAAAAAAGATTATAAGAGAAAAGGAACGTAATCTGTAATACCTCTACTTAAATATGATTAGTGAGTTCTTATGCAAATGGGAGATCATAAAACTAGAATTTAGGTACTACTTCCTCATTTTACTTGAAGATAAAATGAAAGTAAGAGATAAGTAGCCTCTTTAAAGTTACTTAAACACAAATTACCGGTATCGTAATAACACACTTGTTCAAGACAAAACTGGGTTCAGAGCGGACACAAACAAGCCCCTCCCTTGTCTCGTAGCTCTCAGTCAGGTTGTATTAAACTGACAAAGTATGGATACTTGTCACAGATCGCGGAATTCTGGGTCAAATTCGGGTTTGTATTCAGTTGCTTGGCATTGTGCTTAATCTTTTAGGGCAGGGGTTCTCACCCTTTTTTGCTGGCTTACCACTACTTCTAATTTAGCACATTAAATGTACCACAAACCAAATGCTTTCAGGGAAAACTTATTTATATTAATATTATCTTTTGATTTGTATTACTTAATTCGCGTATCACTCAACATTGGCTCTTGTGCTACCAGTGGTACGGGTACCATAGGTTGAGAAACGCTGTTTTAGGAGCTTCGAATTTTTAAATGAGATGTTAAACCGAAGCAGCATCAGACCGTTTATGTCGGCATCTTTCAGTTTAATCCCACAATGTCGCTATGCGCCTCTCAGGCTTTGAATTCCTTTGTGAACAAGTTTTGTGGAATTATAGGAATTCACCAGCCATCATGTTACCGTACAAAATGTTTAATAGTTCCATTTATTTCCATTTGTTTATCTTTGGCAACCATTAGCAACTTTTTTCATAGTGCATAAAGCGATTTTCCCACAACTATTTAGTTCCTTGTGAATTACTTAATGCATAAAAGATCATTATGTGGTAAGTTCTAGAAATAAATGTATGATGTCACATCGTTTTGCTTTTAGAACTGTTTATTTAAAAAGTAAAAAAAGGTCTATTGTCACTTTTATTGGTACAGGCCTACGAACTAGCATATATTCCAGGCTTATACAGGCTATACGGTCTATCAAAATAAATATTCATTTTCATTATTTCAGAATAGTTTACTTTAAAAACTCCCTGACGAAGAACGGGCCCCTCAGCCAGTGTTCAGATTCTGTACACTGTTTTTGAATAATTGTGCGACATCAATAATATCATTATTTCTCGCAGTCTACAGGAATTTTCGTATTTTATCAAAATTTTAGAAGTTATTATTAGTCCTCTACATTATACACTAAGTAAACAACGGCATTGTATATTTATTTTTTTAAACTTAGAGCATAAAATTAATGTAAATAAAATGTTTATTATTTGTATGCGTCCTTAAATATTTATAGTTTTTATCTCTCTCAATCTTATACGTTATTTCCATCCCTCCATTATTCATTTTTCTCATCCCTCCTTATTCGCCGGATTTAGCTCCGTGTGACTTCTTCCTCTTCCCAGAGATGAAAATTCAGCTAAAGGGAAGGAGATTTGAGACGATAGAAGAGATTCAGGCAGAATCGCAGATGGTGCTTGACAGGCTGACAAAGAAAGATTTCCAGGGATGCTTCCAGGCTTGGCAGCGGCGCTGGGATCGTTGTGTTCACTCCCAGGGGAACTACTTCGAGGGTGATGGATGAATTTAATACCTGAGATAAGTGTACGGGTTTTTATAGGCGCAGTCTCTAAACTTTCCGATCGCACCTCGTATCTGATCGTTTCTCTCTATCTCTGATCCACTCTGTCGCTTTGACACACTGTGTATATCTGTCTTTCTCACTCATTGACTCTCACGTCTCTAAACTTCCCATTTTCCACCCAACTTCCTTTTTCACTCCGTTTCGATCTACATTTATTTTTTTATGTTACGTACTGGCTAAGAAACTAACCCGGATATTGACAGCCATTTTGTCAATAATTCTTTCGACGTGTTCTAACCTAACAACTTCATGTAGTAAGTGCACTGTCGCTCTCAAGCTTTCTAATGACTCTCTTAAACGCCTGTCACATTAGTTAATATTCATATCCTTCACGTCACGTCCTGTAAAATCTTTATTCATTTCTTCCATGTACTGACGTCACAGCGTCTGCAGCTAGTTTGTTAAATGACCTGCTGTCTTCGAAAATAAATCATGAAAGTGTTTAACTCAATTTTTGTAGTACCAGTCGGCAAGTTATAATTTTTCTTCAGAATATTATTCACTGTCCCCCACACTTTCTCTCAAATTCTTTCTGTTTATTTAAGTTATTCGAAAACTCTGAATGCTTTTCTTGCCATGATTTTTTGTTCAAGATAATATTAGGCCTGTAATTTTTTCTACACTAGAGCAGAGCGCTCCTTTCGGAGCTCCTAGGGGTTTTGTTCAAGTTTTTAAAACGCTTCGGGGGGTTGGGGGGTTGGTAGAGTTTGAAAATCTTGAGCAAGAAACTAAACAAACCCCCCTTCGGGAGGGGGGTTGGTAAAGTTTTTAAAACG